GTTGTTTGGAAAAGTTTCAGGTTGTGAGTGAGGTTATGCACTACTCTGCGGGTCTTCGTCTCTAGCTGGGTAGTGTCTTCTAGGAGTGACATTGGCCTAAGAAGTGAAACTCTTTAATAGAATGCTATTCTGTGACAAATCATGACTTTTGTGGTTGTTTCTGTCCTCGTGGGAACGGATCTGTATCATTATGCTCCATTTTGGTATTTGTCTGTCATTACAAATATCCAAATATAAACATCTCAATATGCCAAATTATTAAACTGAAAATTTTAAAACAAACAAATTAATTTAATAATAAATTTTCACTTAATATCGACTTAAATTTTCATATGATTTAATTTTCAAAAATTTGTAATCTCAAAATGATATAATGAAGAGTAGTCAAAAGACAAGACTTTTAAAGCATGAAGGTCTTTTGAAATAAGATCTCTGATCAAGTTCAAGCACATAGATCTTCATTACCATTAGTATGATTAATGTGAGATGCTACATATATTTTTAATTTTTTTATCATTTTTTTGTGTTTCATGTTGTTAAAATTATATCACTTTACAGCTCATGTAATCAGATCCATTATTCTTGCTTCTTTTTTATTTCATTATGGGTTTCTAATGATTTAATTTATTATTTAATAATTATTTAATTGCAATAGTTTTGAATACAACAACTCTATGATAAAACAAATGACTAGATTGAGGATATACTGAGAAATTTTTTTACACAAGATTTCAAATAACGCTCAAAGTGAAAATATTGAAAGTAGCATTGATAACAGAATGAGTACTTACAACTAGTATTTACAAGAACTAGGAATAATATTCGAGGTTTCTCTACATACTATCTAAGTCACCACTGCTAGTTCAAAGTTGAGAAGATGCACTCCAAAGATTTAAAAAAAACAGTGCCATTGCTATGTTGTGTATGACACGTCCATGACATTATCCCTCTTCAAGCGACAAGTTACAACCTTCAAGCGACGAGTTACACTAGTTACTTTATTTATCTTATCAAACACAACCCAAAAAATCTATAACAAGAAGTTCATGTGATAGTCACATGATTACAACTTGATTTACTGTTGATGTTGATCCTGACGTGTTGGAATCAAACATCTTTGACATTCATTTTTTTTGGGAAATGACAATGAAATTTTTTGATCATTTTGAGAGCGTTATCAATATTAGTAGCAGGTCGTTAAATTTGCTCGCTTACTTCATATTCCTGCCAATGTAGATGATAGTCTAATCTTCTTCAATAAATGGAAAGATCAAGCATCTTAGAACCTTTGAATTCTTCTTTCGCTACTCTTGGGCTCTGATCGGGTCGGGGTTGACCTTCAACCCAACCCAACCCGAAAAACCTAGTCAGATTCAGGTCGATTCGAGTAGAACCATAAAATAAGGTATTCTTTCCAATTCCAAAAATATTGATCACAGATGAATTTGACTATAATAATAAAATTACATTATATTGAAATTATAAAAGAAATAATTATGCAGCCATATTATAGTTAATGTAAATCAACCATAAAATAGTATGTGAAAAAAATATTCAAAGTGATCTTCTGATGCAAGGATTTTTCCAAAAATAAATTAATCTCAATTCACTTTTTCAATATCAAAAAACAAACCATATAATCAACTAGAAAATAATTTTAAAACTGTGCTATAATGATATATTATTAACATCAATTAAAAAAAATTTTCATTATAATATTTTACTAAATATGTTGCACTTATTGTGTTTTTTATATTTCAACATAACATGTGTATATATTAAAAATGGTCAAATTTTAAACACACTTTATTTTTTCTAAATGATGTGGTAATGCAAAAAAACCTTAAATGTCTAAGTGATCTTGAAATCAGATATATCAACACATAAAAAAAAGCAATTTTCAAAATTTGTCCAAATATAAAAATATATTATTTGAAATGAAAACCTGATTAAACGATAGGATGTACATCTAATAACATCATCTTTACAAAATCAAGGTAATTTAAAATTTATAAATTGATGAATTATATGTGTGTGTGCTTGTGTGTGTGTATATATATATATATATATATATATATATGTGTGTGTGTGTGTGTGACACTATATTTTTCACAAGTGAAAATATGTAGAAAAATTAAATAGATGTAATCTTTATCTCAAAGTAATTTTTGAATGAATTCATGATGAATAAAATATAACTTTTTTTTGCATTAAAACTACCTTTTTCTTTAAACTTTTCATTTTTAATGATATTTATCAGATTAAATTTGATAATAAGCTTGCTTGAACCTGAATTGACACTATAATATTCAACGTCTACAGATTATTTTTTAAAGACACATAAATTTTCTAAAAAACAGTCCATTATTTAGAAAAAAAGAAAATGTTGCTATTTCTTAAATATAAAAATACTAATGTTGCAAATAATATTTGATCAATAATTATTAGAGATAATTCCAAAAACATGAAATTAACGGAATTTTTATTAATATTTTTGTATCCTATTTTTTGTGTAATTTTCAAATTTTTGTATTTACTTTAAATTTTAAATATGAATACATATTCATATTCAATATCCACTGCAACAATCAATAAAAACATTGTATGTTGTAATATAACTTGATTACTTATGATACATATTAAAATTTGTATCATTATTCTCACACACAATTTATAGCTATTTTTGTGAAGATAATCTATTAATAAATTCAATTCTTTATTATTTATATATTTCTAATGGGGGAAGTAATCATATAAATTAAATGATTTTGATTTGAAACAAAAAAATTTAAAATTAAATTTATCGAAAATGATTTTTTTAAATTCTCATTAAAAAAGGTCTATAATAATACTTTCATATTAAAATAATTATGTGGATATATAAGAAAATATATTTTCAGAAATTTTATAATTTTTTATCAAATATAAGTTTACTTATGCTATTATGGAAATTTGTTTTTTGCATATGAATCAATATCATTTTTATTAAATGAGTCATAGAAGTCGTAGAAATAAATAATTCAACAGCATTGATTTCAGTGTGTACACTTTTAACATCTAATATGTATGATTTAAAAAAGATTTATTTAAACGAATCTCATTAATTTTAAACATTAATTGTGTGTGTGTGTGTGTTTTTGAGAATATGATCGCTGGTGATAGCCGTTTTCATAGATTGTAATTGCATTAACTGCATATATGATCCAAAAAATATCACAATTTCTATTTCTATATTGCAAAAAATATTTGGCCTGATATATATAAGATGTACTGATAGAAAATACATATTTGGCTTTTTAGATATAAAAGCTTTCTGAATACAATTCCGTCAACTGTGTGTTTTGTTTTTTGATCAAATTAGCCAGTTTTGTTAATATAGATGCCAAAATTTTATCTGATTCACCTACATGCTTAAATTTTGTTATAAATAGATACATATTATCATTATTTTCTAAATCCTTCATTTTGTATCTCATTTTTTTCTATCTTTACGCATCATTGCAACATATATTTTCACTTTTATCTTTTGCATTCATACCGTTATTCACACCGTAAAAAATATTAAATAAAAAAATATGAAATTAACATCAAAACGTCAAATTAAAAACATGATAAAAATTAATTATTTTTCAGTCTTATAAAATCTTTGAAGGAATAGAAGAGAAAAATGAATTGGATAAATAAATTTCAATAGAAAAATAAACAATGGAAATGTTCAGAATAATATTTTACCAGCGAATCTGTTTTAAACTAAATTTTTTTTTTGGTGGAATAGTAATGTCATCAAAAAATTTATCTGGATTTACCTGATGTAATTTCATATTGCAAAAACAAATTTCAATCTCAGTAAAGAGTACAACTTATTTACAACAAACATATTGATTTTGCCACACCACAATCTTGTATGATCAAATCATAACCATTTAAATCAATTCATGTGTACGCGAGATGCATGAAACCATAATGTGGAGCATTAAAATGGAATGAGGGGAAGACGTATGTAAGTGTACACGAATCTATCCACCAAACTAATAAATTGTAAACATGTTAAATGTCAAAAATTGGATCTGGTATGAAAATTGAGACAAAAACACACACACATTTATTTGATTTTATCACTTTCATTTAAATTATAATTTGAAAATTATATATATATAAATATAAATTTTGAAGTGAAACAATTTTTTTCGTTTATGTAATTCTTTGAATTAGAATATGAACATATAATATATATATACACACGTATTCTTTATTCAATACATTACTCTTTTGAAGGAGTAATCGTGTTTGATATGGCTGCATATAATTTTGATCAGGTACTATAAAATACAAGTCAATCTAATATGTTTAGTATATCAACCTACATGAATGTACGGGGAAATCCAATTTTTGAGTTTCAGCAACATTATCGCATCTCATGCGAAATTGGTGGGAACAAAAATAACACATTCGGTGCGAGAGGTTTTTTCGAAGTCACAGAAATGACAAACTTCGAACTTGGTAAGAAGATAATAATTATTGTGCCGCCGAGAGAGAGAAAGGCTTTTCAACAGATGAAGAGTTAAATTTTGAAATATTATACCACGTTTTCGAGGGCCTAAGTATTGGGAAGGTTGGGGTTTTTTCAAAAGACCATCAAGTTTTGAACTTCGGGTGATTGCAGCATCGAAATGAAAACCTTGTGAAGTCGAGAGAGAATTACAAGAATGTAAGAGTTCTTTTCCTTTTCCTTGCGGGGTTTATCCAACTTCAATTATGGTTGCTGTATAGCCAACGTAACATTACTGAAATTTCGAAAGAACTCAAGCAGCCATTGCATAAGACCGAGGGACTGTGGATGAAATTATTACTTGGGTAAAGAAGCTAAGAGCCATACGTTCCGCTCCTTGGAGAAAGGGTACAAACAGAGTTGTAGAAAATGGGCAGTCCGTCCGCGGCCTACCACGTCGTCCACGGAGGGAGCAAGGGGACCTTATCCGATAGATGATCGTCAGATGACAACGAAGAGGATGCGACATGGCGAGCGAGAGATCAGTTGCTCCTTCACATGTTCCCAGGACAGGCCAGGCCAGGCCAGCGGCAGCAACTGCAACGGGACCAGAAGATTGTCTAATTCTTGGATTTGGAGCGCGAGAAGAGAGTGAGGCGGAGGCATGGCAGCCATGGCGGTCAGCTTGGCTTCGGCCATGAGCAATGTGAGCTTGGGAGCGCCTTCCTGTTCCGGCCTGAGAACTGCCTCGTCCTCCACTCCGAGCGTCTCGCTCGCTCTTCCCTCCACCGGCTACAAGGTACATTCGAGTGTCGCATGATTTTCAGTTGTTGGGATGTATGTCTGTGTGGTTGTGTCATTTTGTTGATGTCTCTCTTGCCCAGGAATTGAAGCAGTGCATGTGGTGCTATATCATGTTTCTGTGACATGGCACGGTTGTGGGGTCTGTGCTCTCGCCCTAAGACAGTGGGTGGTTGCATAAGACGGACGAATTTCGATCTTCTGTGGGTTGTATTGTAGTTCATGGTCTTGAAGTGGAGGGTGGCAAGTGCGCTGGAATTAGGTGGATTTAGCATCTTGTGACGCCGTGTTACCTGATTGGTTGCCGTTATTCATTATGGCACCTTCATTCTTATCTTCACGAGGGCTGTTTTACAGAGGGTACAAGGCTTGCCTTATTTGAGTATTAGATGCGCCCGTGTGGGAGGAGTTGAGGTGCCAAATGCCAAGAGGATAGAGATTTCCTTGCAGTACATTCATGGAATCGGCAAGACCACTGCTCGCCAGATTTTGCTTGATGTCGAGTTGGAGAACAAACACACCCGAGACCTTTCTGAGGAGGAACTCACCAAGCTTCGTGATGAGGTGTCCAAGTACATGATTGAAGGAGATTTGGTAAGTACTCTTGCTTTTTAGCGTCGGACCATATTCTCACTGGGTTTTCACCGTATCACCGTACACACGCAACCCTTTCGAAGGTCTTCTGTTTTTCACTCACATTCGTGTTAGAAGATTCTACGTCAAATCCAGGGCTCTAATTTGAAAACCCTAATGAACCTGCCTGGTATAAATCAGGGTTTATCTGTTCTGTTTACTAAGTTCAAATTCACGATGGACTCAAAACCCTTTCCTGTCATTTGCAGCGGCGATTCAACACCCTTGCCATCAAGAGGTTGAAAGATATCCAGTGTTACAGGGGAAAGAGACATATCATGGGTCTTCCTTGCAGAGGACAGCACACCAAGTGTAATGCCCGTACTAGGAGAGGCAAGAAGGTGACAGTAGCCGGAAAGAAGAAGGCTCCTGGGAAGTAAGCTGAGTTAGTTCATAGTTTTCACCTTATTTTTTAAAATTTTAAGGATGTCGTCCATCTGAATGGGATGTTTCAGTGATAATGTGCATTGTCGCGGAAGTGACTGCAAACCCATGAATTACTTGAATTTTGTCTGGGATACACGTGGAAGGACTTCTGGGCTTTCAGTATGATGATTTTGGCACGAGTTATACCCTATCTAAGTTGACAGCTATACCACTTCGAACTACGGGCAGATTCATATAAGTCCATCTACAGTTCTGAAAACAAAACCTTAGGCACCTTTCAATCAGCAAGCGTTTGGGCATGGCAGATTTTCTATGTTGTAACAGGGAAACAGGTTATGGTATTTTCGTCAAAGGACTGAGATCATTGTAGCTACTTTTCTCTGCCTCAGTCTCCACACAGCCTATGTTGAATAGTTGACACCGAAACACCTGCCTGGAGAATGAAAGATCGGAATGGCACTCAGATTACCACATGGATTTGGTCATCAGTTTGGAAACTTCGTTCAATGCCGACACAGTCCCGCAGTGCAAAATTCGGGGGACTTGATGCTGACTAAGTCCAGCGGCCAGTTGGAGTTCTTCTATAACAACTGGTACACGCCTCAGTTACACTATTTTGAGTGGCTGGTTCTAGCAAGACACGAGAGAACATGTTTCTTGTAGTGAGGCGGAAGTATCTGAACTTTTCGTTCCACGTCACCCTCGTCAGACTACAAACTACCACTCATGTTGTGACATAACGAAGTAAGTAGGAATACTTCCACATTAACTGCCCAGTCGGAATGGATAATGGTACAAGCGGGGTCCTGTTACTCGTGTATGCCCTGCCTGCCGAATAACTCAACTACATTCGAACCTCTTCTGAACGAAACAGATAGAATCTATCGTTCAGATACTTCACTTGTGTCACGAGGCTGTACACTGCGTTGAAGCAGACAATGTTAAAGGGCAAAGTAAATGATTTCATAGCATGCAAATGTAAGTAATGATCATCGCCTAGAACGCTTGAAACCTTGGAGTGGATGGTGAAAGATGGTATACATCATGAGCGATAATCCATACCTAAACTGGTACTTTCCAAAAACATAGATCCACTCCATTTATTGTTGACATCATATGAACACTCTTCAAGTGACTTCATTCCTTTTCAGCATGATGTAACGATATATCCATCTTCCAAAATATTATGAAAGAAAAATGCACAGGACTGAGAGATGAATACTTATTATATTTCATGAAGAAATAAAAGTATACCACATAGATGGGAATATCTATTCAAACACCACACGATGAAAACATGAGAGTAAGATCATATTCCTAGCACCAATCTTAATCTCTTGGAAGCAAAAACATCTCAATTTGTTTAGACCAACTCGTTTATATGTTACAAGATCCAATATGATTGATCTCTTGTGTATTGCACGCATGATATCATTTGCAAAGCAACAATAAATGTTGCCTCGAAAAGTTGTGTAGTATGTCAAATGAAATCAATCCGTGAGATTTAAGATGATATTTTCTTCAATATTCTCTCACAAACATGTGAAAGTCAAAGTTAATAGCTGCATAAAACTCATAAGCATTCTTGTTGGAGCAAGAGCTATACAAGGTCCAATGAAATAAAGAATAGTCAGATCCACTACAAGAGAATGGAGCAATATGCGACCATTGATTAGTTAATTATTTTGAAAAAAATAATCACTATAAATGAAAGTCAAAATAAAATAGTGTTAAAAAATAAAATTTGGCAATAATGTATTTAAAGTAATAATGTTTGGGTGAAATTTGTCTTACCGGAAAACCAAGAATCATTCAAGCCAAGTACGAAGACACGATACACTCATATAAAGTGGTTTACCCTCAAGGGTTACGTCCACGGCTAGAACAATCGAGGAGATTTACTGATAACTCAATACAAAATGCACATCCGAGTAAAAACTTTGGGGATATATTTATACCCAAAGCCAACGACACATCTAGCTATAGATAGCTATAACCTGAGGTTACTCTTTAATCAGAGTTAACCTCAACAATCTTCTCCTTAACTTGTGTTAAGGATAAAGTAGCCTATGTAACATATGTTATTACTCAGCAAGAAGTTTTAAACAAAAACCTAACACAAGCCGCGCATTCTACCATTTTTCATTGATTTCCAATACTAATCGTAAAACATCATGAGCAACATGATGTTGAAGCCCATCTTTACATGCAAGTTAGCTAGAAGTAGACCGTAGACATAAAATGATAGAGTAATAACATAAAGAGATAAATAGGAAACTTCTTGCATAAAAATATCTGAGATCTTGTAATCTATATAAATACTCCGCGGGAAGTTCTAGAAAAAAATTTAATACAAGTTAACTCTTTACACAAGAGTTAACTAGAGCTAAACCATAGTCATCACATGATAGAGTAAATATATAAAAAGATAACTGAAGTTACTATGCTAGCAAATTCTACATGTGCTCCTCATGCACAACCTGTATGGTAACACAATGTCGCATGAAACTCTTCAAAAGAATAATTTTGGTCAAAGCATCATCTTGATTGAGTTTACCGTTAATCTTGACTAGCGCAATCGTTTTATCAAACACTGCTTGTTTGATAAAATTGTACATGATGTCGATGTGCTTCACTCTGCTATTCATGATCTGGTTTATAGCCAAATGTAAAGCACTCTGGCTAACTAATGAAGATTAATCACGCCCTAATTCAATCTCATTTTCATGATAAGCCTATCCAGCCAAATAGTTTCCTTTGCCGCTTCTACTGCTGCCACATATTCAACTTCCATTGTTGATTGAGCTACGCATTTCTGCAAGACAGACCTCAAACTAATGCTTCCATTGTCAAGTGTAAACACATACCCAGTTGTAGATCTCATGTTCTCTAGATTTAGTCTGTAGTTAACATCAACGTAACCAAACAAGGATTTTGACATTGTCTAATGGTCCAGGTCTTATTGTCAATCATGAAGTGCATCTCCCGTTCCATAGTAGCATTCCATTCAAGCTTGTTGACCAAAGCTTGAGCTTCCATGTATGAAGAAGTTTCATTTTCTTTCAAAATCAACATCATACCATCCCCATCTTTAAGATCAAAGTCACAATATTTGAGAATGGATGAATTTGCTCATACACAAAACCTTTTAGCAGCCATACTAGCACGATGCGATCTCCTAGTAGATGTTTCTTGTTGATGTCTATCGTCTGAAATTATTGCAACAGACTCATCAATGATAATTCGTTCATGTTCCTCTTGTTCTTGATGCACAAGTGCTCCTTGTTGTGATAGATCATCAGTGATATAATAATAAAACTCCCTCACAACGACATCTGTGACTGGAGATTTTTCCTTGTGAGTACAAGGAGCCTTAGAATTCTCACTCTCTTTCAATAAGCCAAGTTCATTGAAAGAAACATCTCTACTGACAATCATCTTACGAGCTAGTGGATTCCATAGCCTGTAACCTTTCACTCCACTAGCATATTCAAGAAAATGACATTTCTTGGACGTAGGGTCTAACTTAATCCTGTGCTTCTTTGGTGTAAGAGTATAAGCAGTACAACCAAAAACCTTCAAGCAACGGTAATCCGCCATCCGTTTATGCCTGAGTTCAAACAGTTTGAAGATTTTAATTGCACTAGAAGAAGAAAGGTTTATCAAATATACTTTAGTGTTGACGGCTTCAGCTCAAAACTCTTTTAGTAAACCGGAGTTGCTTTGTATACTCCGCAACTTCTCCAACACTATTCTATTGAGTCTCTCAGAAATAGCGTTTTGTTGGAGAGTGTAAACTGTCGTGAAGTTACGAGTAATTTCCTCCTCTCTACAATACCTTGGAAACTACTCTGAAGTATATTCACCGTCATTATCTAATCATAAATATTACCTTTTTTTAATTTTACCTTCTTGCCAGTCTGAATTTTAACTTGTATGCGATAAGTTTTGAAGGTGGAAAACACCTCAAAGTTGTGGGTAAGAATATATACTCACACATACCTAGAGTTTTCATCTATAAAAAGTACATAGTACAGCTTTCTTGAGAGTGAGGCAGTAGGAGATGGATCTCACACGTCACTATGTACATACTCCAGTATTTCCGTGGAATTATGAGTTCCAACACTAAAAGCTTGCCGATGCTATTTTCCCATGATGTAGTGCTCACAAAATGCGAAGTCAACTTTATCCAAACCTGGTAACACTTTTTTTTTTCATCAAGAAGAGACAAGTACCTATCACTCAAATGATCTAGTCTGGAATGTCATAAATGAGACATCTTTATTCGAGATCTGATAATGTTAACTTTTCCAAAAATTGTGATGACTCCTAATAAGTACAGATAATTGTGCTTGTATCCCCTAAATATTAACTTCTTATCACTGAATTTGACATCTAACACGTCTTGCCTAGAGCTCCAGTGTAATCTGTGTGAGTCTAACACTCCAAGAGAGATCAAGTTCATTATCATGTTAGATATAAATCTACTTGTATCAGTGTTTGGTTGACACCATCAAACATGCGGATTTTTACAAATCTCACACCTTCAATCTTACAAGGTTGGTCATTCCCCATAAGAACAAAATCGTTTTATCATGAAAAAGTACAAAATAACTCTCTAATGTGACAAATGTGATAAGAACAAGCACTTTTCAAAATCCATATATCAGCAACAACTGTTGATGAACTACAGAATGCATACCTATGATATCATAGTTCGGCGGCATACATGTCTTCCTCTTCGGAGTGAAGATGCTCATCACTTGGGAGAGATTCGCATCTCTTACTATCATCTAACAATACTTCTTGATGTGAACATTCTTGCCACATCTCCAACACACCAAGTTCTTCAAGTTATTCTTATTAAAAGATGAAACTCAAAACTGAACTCTTCTTCGCTTAGGGGATCTAGATTTCTGCCGCTTGAATCTTGTATGTTGCAAATTGTCCATACTTGATGGTTGCGACTGACCACGAGTCATAGTAAGTGCAGTACTTGAAATAAGTGAGCGAGACAATGACAACATCTACTGTTCTACCTCGTCTGTTAGGAGAGCACTTACAAACTCGTTGTAAGTTACAACATTGTTATCACAATGAAGGAGAATCTTTGACAGGGTCTAGTATGAGGGA